GGGACTATATATATATATATATATATATTAGAAAAGCATTATAGTGATAATACCAAATGTATTAAAAATATCTATAGTTATTTCTTTTTAGTTTCCATTTTTCAAAACTTTGCGTTAGGGCAGGGCAATCATGCTACTTTATCCTTTTCGGATTTCGTCAGTTAAAACAATTATGAAATTAAATTTCAAAAGATCTAAAAGCATACAAATGCAGGATATTAAATTATAGTTCCAAACTTTCTTAATAAACAAATTTATTGATTCGGGTTTTCCGTAGTTGTTCTAAAAATTGTAACCCGCTTTTTAGGTAAAATTAATAATGTGAAGACATTTTTAGAAAAGCATTATGTTTCCAATTAAATGCAATCATCATAAGTTCAAGAACAAAAACGAAAATATAATTAAACTAAATTTCTAAAAGATCATAGAGGAAACGAAAATAAAAAATGTAATCCTAATTCCAAGTTTGCGAGGGTAGAGGGCTCTAAAGAGTCGATTTCAATATCGCTTTTTTCAATCCACTTTTCTTTAAAGAATTTTCTTCAAGATCTTTATCTCTATTAAGACATTGAATATCAACATTTCCTATAAGCTAATAAAAATAAAAACAATTATACTGCCAATCACTTACTTCCGCTGTTACTCTTTTTTAGCAAATTTTGTACCCATCTGTTATGAGGAATTTGTGAAATGACAATATTTTTGAAAGGAAGTGGGCGATCTGAACAATCGAATGAGTCAATGTTATCTGACAATCATAAACTTCGTTCGAAATGACGATCAATAATTACTTTTTGTTTACAATGGGACACTATTTATTTTAAAAAATCTTTTTTTTCCTCTTCTCTTTAAATTATTGAAGTTAAATTTTGCTGAATTCTATTTCGTAAGAGACTGTGGGCGTTTCGAACAGCTATTTTGAATACATTTTATCTTGTATCAAATGATGCCAACAGTCTAACGAATTCAGGTTTTTGTCGATAAGGGTAGAATAAAATCGTGTTTAGATTTGATAAAGTAAAAAGTGAGCTCTAATTCGAGAGGATAATCAAACATGGGACGCATTCCTAATGCTAGATAATACTCAAGATATAGCTTTTCTGATGACACATAAAAATGTTTCCAAGTTATTTTTAAAAATAAAAGGTAATGTTTGATTAGAAAGTTTGCTGTTTATTGACGGAATGTTTACCATAAATTTCGTTTTTTCTTTCTTCCTTTTTAAACGGCGCAGTTGCGTTAATGACGTCACTGCTAGTCCCCGCTTAGCTTAAAACCTTCTGCTAGGCCAGTGTTTCCCAAAGTGTGGTACGCGTACCCCCAGGGGTACGGGAACAGTTTAGCGGTGGTACGCGTTCTTATGCAAAATATGTTGCAACAAACGAAAATTTTAAAAGTTTTTATTTAAAATTAAAGTTAGTCATGAAAATTAACGATTACGTATTTTTCTATTGGCTATTTTTTGCAGAATTATACAAATACATTTAAATTCCAAAATTTTATCTAAGTTATAAACAAATTTCGCTAAGCATTTAAATAATTTCGTTTTATTTTATTTATATCTGATTTGTTAAGAAAAGTACTTTAATTTCTATCAGCTCAATTTTATTTCCTGAATTTTTGTTTTTTTTAAAAAAAAACAGAGTCAATTGGCTTTTCCGTTAAAAATAGTAACATGCTCTGCAAACCCCGTCAGATATTCTTTTTTCAAGTTCTATAAACTATTTAATGAATGCCGTTAATATATTTTTAAAGACGTCATTACATAATAGTGGTAGATCCACCCATTCACAAATGATGTTTAATAAAACCTAGCCTTTTTGGTATGCGGGTCTACATAGCATACTCCCTTTTTACTTGAAACATAATCAAAACTGAAGGGGAGGTTTGGGTAAAAACTTATTTCCTCTCTATTAAAAATTATGTAATCTCAGTAATAATCTCAGTTTTAATGTTATTGTGTATTATAATTATGCATAGGTTTTTCATTTTCTGTTAAATCATAAGTTGTCAGTAAAGATCATTTGTACGTAATTATTACCAAAAATATTATATTGTGTCTTGATTCTTTTGCTGTCCAACTAATTCAAAAGCTTATTGTCAAATATTGTACATATTTTTGAAAAAAATACCCTATTAGGGTTTTTGACGAACCCACTAATCGCCTCGTGTGGCCATCAGATTCACTTTGCAAATGTATCTTTTGGTTGAGCCAGAGCTTGACCATGGCAGGGGCACACGGGGTAGTTGCCCAGACCCCCAAATCGAATAGAAGGTTTATTTTACGTGTTCTTCTTTATTGAAATTTTTTTTAAAAACAAAATATCAGCACAGTGTAAAATCCGTCAGATTTATGTTAGCTTCTTCATTAACCTATCGTATGAACACAATCTATATTTCGTAAATCCGTGGCTTTCTAGGGCGGAATTGAGCTAACTTTTCTCAATGAGGATGGACAAATTTGGCCAATCAAAAGCCTATCTTTTTACATATCGCAAAATGCGATATGTTTGCAAAAATACATGCTTCTGGTTGGCCTAATTGAGCTCTCGTAATTACGAAAATTTAGCTGAATTCCGCCCTAATGTCAGCAAGGATAAGAATTTTTTGCAGCTAGATGACAAAGTTGACAATCAGATAACTGCATTCTCATGATGGACATAGAATTGTCAAAAAATCGATAAAATGGATAGAACAATATTTTGTTGGACCATTGGAGGAGGAGGGGGGGGACTTTATAGCTGATTTAGGTTATAGTCAATTTTCTTGTTATCTATAATGAGAAGAAAAATTATAATACCTCCATAAAGTTCGATTCTTCATTACTGAAGTAGTGCGGCAGAGGGCCCCTCCTCAATGAAATTTTTGCCCCGGGCCCCAATTAGGCTACGTCAGGCCCTGGATTGAGCCTTTCTCCCTTCATAGAATTACTCAAGGTGCTGGACACTTTTATACCAAAAATCTCTTTTCATATTCCTCATCCTTCTTATTTTTAAATGTGGGGGTGCTGTGGTAATAAAGTAAGCAAATACAATGATATCGTGAACTCGTGATACTGTTTTAACTGAAAACGTTCTAGCGAGTCGAATAAAGAAAAAAGTGTTTAAGTTTAAATCAGGGAGACATTAAAAAAAAAAACTCAGATTGATAAATGCTTTTCACCTCTCACAGATAAAAATTGTATTTTCCTTTTTAATGGGTCCTTACTTATTTTTTTTTAAAATAAATTAATTTTACAGTTAATTTTATTTATAAACAGTTTGAGAATTATTTCCTCTCTCCCTAACACCAGCTAACCTTTCCATAGTTTGTTTGCAATTTGACATTCTGAAAAACAAACAAACAGTGTGCTAATTATTTCATAAGATGCTCTTAATGCATATTTTATATTTTTCCCGGTTTGACTGTTTCATTTTTCTAAAAATGAAACTCTGAGATTTTAGTAGGAAACCCTTTCATTTGCATTCCTACGCAACAAAAACATATTTTCCTAGCTCTAAAATGCTCCTTTGAAAACAGCAATCTACCATAATAAGGAAATGAGATGGGACCCTAATAGGACATCTTTAAAAACGACTTGAAAAAAATTTAGAGCGGGGAGGACGTGGCAGAGGTTTCTCTAATGGAGTATAATGGGATCATCATTGTGACAAGGAGAAGAAAAAAAAAAGACACGCGTATAAATTAATTTAGTTTACAAATAGGTGGCAAACTGAAGAAACCATGAAAGTATTCCTGCCAACTTTAAACGTTTCATTTGATGTACTTTAACGTGGAATTCTATTATCGCAATTATTCTGTAATTAGCCGATGTTTCGAAAGGAACTAAAAATTCTTTTTTTCATTTTAAACTCTAATTTATACTAAAAGTCACAGGCTAATAGATGTGGAGGTTAGTGTCCCCTCATCTATGTTTTTTTTTAAAATTTTATGTTGAATTTTTTATCATTATTCAAATTGTTGAATCTGTATGTATTCACATATTTGCAAACTAACATTGATAAAAATGTATACAACCATAATTGCTATTATTAAGATTGTTAAGAAATTGTTTTTTCTTTTCAATAAATAAAAAATCCATTTTTTTATACATATATATTAGAGAACAATTACATTTATTACGAAAGCTTAATGCTATTTATTTGGTCTGCTACTTATTATTGTGACCAATATTTCACCTTAGCTTCTTCTTCTGTATAATTATGTATTTTGTTTTGTTTTATAGAGTGTCTTTATCAAGGGAAATATTATGATGTGGGTCACGTGATTAAAATCAATTGCAACAAATGGTATGTAAGTTAAAAAAAATTTCAGAAATCCGTTATTACTCTTATTTGAAGAAATATTTTTCCTTTTGTTTTGTTCGTTTTTTTTCTAGAAAGTAAAAGTACATTTTTTCTTCTATTATACTTCAGAAGTGTCTGCAGATAACGTATGAGCTCTGATAAAAAAGAAAGCGTTAAAAAGCAATTTTGATGTCAACGAGGGTGCGATCGAACAAGAGAGCACAGTTGATGTTAAAACGGGTTCTTCGTAACGGGTTCGGATGTTAAAAGCTTTCCCTTAATATTAAACTTATTCAAATGTGATAATGTACTCATTTATATATATAAAAAATTCTAATGGTGTATATTCAAAATGAAATTTTAAAGCTCTTAACTTAGCGAATAAAAATTATAAAATTCTCTCAAAAATAAGGAACTTAAAAAATATTATTTTGCTTAAAACAAACTGTATTTCAAATAGAGGAAGAACTTATTTTTAAATGTTCTCAAAAGTTTCCTTAAATGTTCCTTCTTTACCTTGTTTGACAGATGTCATTTGAGAAGTTTTTTTTTCTTCTAGTGGTAGTTCAATTCATATAATAATTTTAGAGATCGTTCATAATTAGAATGCGGCAATGAAGAAGTTATTATGATAATTATTTTCACTCATTCAGAAACATTGTCTTCTTACCCAGACTTGATTTTCAGAAGGTTTTACTTGTTATAATTACCCTCAACGGTGGCATAAAGTTGAGGCCTGGAGATCTGATTGTCCATAAAAATTAACTATCTATTAAAATGGAATCAGGTCCAACTGTAGCTTAGAGAAGTGAACATATATCTTCAAGGCATTACCCTTATGTCTCAAACCAAATCGTCTTTCCCAAAGCTAGTCGGCTAGAAGCCTGCAGTTATTCAACTAGAACCCTGCCTACACCATCAAGCCTCGATTGTTATACAGGATTGATTTTTCGAGTAATTCCCTGCAGGTAATTCCCTGCAGATAAGGTTTATAATTTTGGATGGAGGGAAACAAAAACCTTCCAAGAACCGAAAAATAGAGGCAAATGGGTGGTCTTTACAGGCTTCTTATTGAATGGCTCCACAGCAATCCATGCTTTTTAGAAAGACACTTTGCCTGGTTTGAGCATAGGTGTGAAGTCTTAATGTTTGCTTCTAAGTGGCTCAGTTTACCCTAATCTCGTCACAATGGATGACAACGCGTGGCCTCCTTACGCCGCCTGATGGTCACTACTTTTTAGGAAAATGAAAGTATTCACTGGATGGATTAGTTAGCCAGGCTTCCAGACCTCAACCCTATAGACCAGGGGTGGCGAACCTTTATACACCAACGTGCCATTTTTTCTAAAAAATTTCTTAATGAGGTCATAGACGTGCCGTTAAATAATTTTGACTTCGTGATTATTGGGAAAATAATAATACTAAATACTATCAACTCAAAAAACTCGTTATTTACATTGAAAAAAAAAAACATTTTGCCATGTCTTAAAACAACTAAAAGTAACATCAGTGTGACTTCTGTTGCTGCAGATTCGATGACAAATAACTTATATTAGGTTGTAAGATGTTAGTTTAAGCAGAACTGTTAATTTTTTTGCTAGTTATTTATTGTTAGCTTGCTTTTTATGGTTATTAATTGTTTTTTTAGCATTAATTTCTTTATTAATAATTGCTTATTATTATTTTTTTTGCGAATTTTAATTTATCATAATGTAATAACATTTGTGTAATAACAATTCATAGTGTAATAACAATTGTGATCGGTGGCGTGCCCAAAATATTGTGTCTCGTGCCATAAATGGTACGCGTGCCATTGGTTCGCCATCCCTGCTATAGACTATAGCTGTGAGAGAGAGAGAGCAATATTAAATCGCCATCCCCCTCTGAAAATTAAATGGCTAGGAAACATAGCTGCATCAGTTTTTAAACTCTTTGACCACATGAAATCAATTTGTGAAACCTATATAAAACGGGGTCATAGCATGCATCTCTCTTTCATTGCTGGTATCAGTAACCGCTATTTCATAATTTCTGATTGCAATGAATGTTACGCATGAACATGCAAGTGCATTATAATTATTTAATTGTTAGTTTGTTACTGTTATATTAACCTATGTTTACGTTTTATTTCATTAACACCCGCTTAGTTGATTTGGAAATAGTTGACACAATCTGAAAATTCTCTTAATATTGAACACGAGCGTGTTAATGAAAAATGTTAAATGCATGTAGTAACCTTTAAAATAAGAGCTTATCATGTCCTTTTTTAAAACAATGGAAGGTAATATTATTTAATTGTATCCATTTACTTTTAATTGGGTCCAATACGAAGAATAACTCTTTTTGTTAGTCAGTGAACCTTTTAATTCAGGAGTTAACATTAAATGGCTGGACTTATGAAAACTTCAAAAAAAAAAAAAATAATAATAATAATAAATAAATAAATAAAAAATATAATTTTAAAAAGTAAGACGGAAAAGAAAATCTAGTAGTAAAACCATTTCATTCATTCTTTGAAGGAGAAACAAAAACTTTTAAACATACCGAAAACAAGTTAAAATGAAATAATGTTTGGTCCAGTTCATAGTTTTTTTTTTGTCTTAATCTATATGAGCTTTCAACCTTGATCGAAAAGAGTCATCTGGGGAGCAACCCCTCTGAAACTGCAGGTCCTTTGAAGCTAACATCCGGACTGGTACACATAATAAGTTCCTATAGGTATCAGCTAAAAATTGTTTTATTTTGGTATTGCTCAGAGCATATAAATATTTTGAGCACTTTTATTCTGGTTTCTCTCTAAATTTATTTCTTGCAATATATCCAAATGTGTGTTCAAAAAGGTCTTGTCGAGTTGTGTTCTCCGAGTAACCCTTTCTACCCTCCATTCATTAACTACAAAAGAGTGGGTGTTCTAGTTATCTTAACACGACTCACTTAATTAATTTATGGGTATGACTATTCAACTGCGCCAACAACAATTTAAAAAAATAATCACTCCATGGCAGACAAAGTTTTCATTTGAACTTTTGCAAGTTTTAAAATGAAATCTTTCCCACGGAGAGAAACAATAAATGTTAACTACTGTACAATTATACAATAGGCTGGTGCTTAATCAAAGAAAAGTGGAAACTTATGGGACCTACAGGGACCGAACAAAAATATCGAAACAACCTTTCTTAGAGCTGCAACTCATTGACAGTTGACAAAAACATTTATATATAAAAAAACCTTTTCAGTTTCGAATTTTTTAAAACGGAGAGGAAAAACTAATATTAAAAAGCATTTAATAATCTTAATCATAAAAAAAAAGGATCACTTAATAGAGTAATAAATAGTCCTTCATACAGTGACACATATACAATAATGGAAGAGACACTTTTAGTTCTTATAATTGTTTGAATTTCTCAAGAGGACTATTTTATAAGTCATGTTATTTTTCATATTTTCCAACAAAGCTTAAAGCAAGCTTTCAGGGGTATTAGGGACCGACAATAAAATACGAAAGAAAACAACTATTTTTGAACACCCTAGGCCACGAAATAAGCTTATAACTTAAATCGATTATTTTGGTTTTTTTTTGCAATGCCAGCATAAAACATTGAAATGAAATATTTATGGTAAATTATTACATTAGATCAAATATTTATGGATATCTAAGCATTTTTATTAAAAAAAACCCTAATTTTTTTTGTCTTATGTGTTTTTGGTTATAACTTTAAAAATATTCCGTAAAATTATACAACATTTTTCGAGCAATTTAAAATTGATTACAAACATTTTGAATTTTATTTTATTATGCTTAAAAACATAATTTTTCTCTGTGGTCAACTCTCACAAAAGAGTTTAAATTACCTTTAATGCTATTTAACCTCTTCAGTGAAATTTCAATACGTAACTTAATAGTAAAGAAAATTTTCTGAAAAAGTTTTTGTTTTCTTGGCAACTTATAGAAGTATAAAGGGTCGAGAGAGTTTATGAAAATCATTTCATTCGAAATATGTCCTCAAATATGGTTATTTTAACACGGGTTGGATAGGAATAGCAGACTCAACATAAAACATTTTTTCATTACTAAAATAAATGTTAGTGCATAAATAAATCATTTGAAATATTTTGCAGCACATGTCAACAGAAAGAAGCGGCGGAATTCGATTTTGTTTGTGAACAGAATGTTTGTCTTGTGAGGCCGGAATTGATAACAGCCATCAACGACGCTAGACAAGGGTAATTATGCAATGCTTATCCCAATTATTTCGGTAATCATTTTATAATGTAATCTAGGCTTCTGTATAATGACAAGGAGCATGGCCCTCTTAATGCTATAGTAGATGCAGTCATTTCCAACAAAAGATTTTTCTTTATTTATGATTGTAAAATTTTTTTTTACAAAAAAGTAACATTTATTTATTAAGTTTTGAGAAAATATGAAATACAGAGACGCCAACTACTCCGCTTTCTGCACAAGGGAGCAAGTTGGCATCTCTCTGAAAAGAATGTATGGATATGCTTTTAAATATTCATTGGCTGCAGCGTCCTTTTAGAAATAAAATGGTAGTAGAGCTTACATTTGCCCTTTTCATAATATTTAGGTCGACTTTCGGATGAAACAGCAAATCAAAACGGCAATAATTTAAGTGATTATGTTTAGTACAAAAACTGGTGTGTTACTAAAACATTTTATCATCAAAGATAAATTAGCTTACACTTTTTTTAGTTTTGATGCGATGTCTCATTTTAAGAGTAGAAACTTGTAGAGAGACTGTTAAACACTTCATTGGAAATGTAAAACTTTTTTTTCTTTTTTAACTGAATAAAATTTTTTCATCCCCCATTTCCTAAAAGCATTTCAATTACTAACTGTAAATTTCTATATAATATACGGAATGTAATAGTTACACAGTCATTTAAATAAATTATTTTATAACAATTCCTTATTTAAAATTTAATGCATCTTATGACAGATATAAAAAAGGTACTTATAGTCTTACCGTTTCGTTCATTCTCTTTGGGCAGAAAAGTAGCATTGTTTATAATATCGTCTGTACCAATTCATTAGCACATTTGAGGTTCAAACCATTAAGATTGAGTCCTAAAACGTGAAGATAAAAAGTCATTCAGTTTTTTTTCTTCTTTCTGTGGCGCACTGTACACTGTTTGCACTAAGTGGATATTTCTTCTTGTAACAGTTTTTAAAAAGCTCCGTGCCATGGCTTCAGATCCTAATAAATATTTTTTATTATAAGGGTATGCAAAAAACTATAGTGTTTCTACAAAATAAATTTTGATAATGAAACACTTGTGTTACCACTTTAGGCAAAAGAAACTGTTCTTCTAAAAGGACGCTAGACATGAAACAGGGCTAAACATAAGAGGAAGAACTGGGCACAAAAATATTTCCTCCATGGCTGGGTTTCGCGTGGAATTAAAGAATCGTTTCTTGTTTTGAACCTTTTACACTTCGAGTACTTTAAAATGCTGTTTAATTTATTTAACATATACAAAGGTGAACTTACCCATGTAAAATTCGGATCGATCAAAATGAGCGTTGGAAGATAAAACTCTTTTGGATTTTCAATGCCACTTTTATTAAGAGAGCATTCTAATAGAAATATTGGAATGTTTCGAGCACTGTGCGAAGCGTGGGCTAGAATTCCGACGGAACCCTGAACTGTTCTATCTGTCCTTCTACCTTGACAAAGGTTTATAAGCCTAAATTGAGCACACAATGTATGTCATTTGAATAAAGCAATTCTTCGCAGTCACTTTCAATAGTAAATTGAAACAAATAAGCTAGTAAAAATTTGAGATCGCTTCATTGATTTTTGCTATTTCACCACTTTATACATCCCCTGAGGCATCCGAGGAATGTAAAAGGTTAATGACAAACTATTTACTTTTCTCGCATTAAAAAAAAAGTGCTATATATGATAAATAACTGTTTAAAAAAACTATTGTTTGTCATTGATGTTTTAGCTTTCCCCAAAACAAGTAATACTATCATAATAATATTTTCCTCCGTATTGATGCTTTTAGTATGAGTTGAGCACAAATGGGTTATTGTTTAGCAACCACTTAATTTATAGAGTAGATCTTTTCTTGATATTTCTCTCATAATGTATTTCTAGGTGATTTTTATATGACAGTGATAATCAGTACGAAAATATAAAAAGTGGTAAAAAAGTATGATTTTTGCATTCATTTTAATTCTTACAGGATGTAATTAATATTATCTTTTGGAATAAATGTTGGGAATAAGTCTTCTGATTGATATTATTTGTAAAAAGTTTCTTGTTTCAGATGGCGAGCGAGTAATTACAGTTTCTTTTACGGCAAAACATTGGAAGAAGGAATGAAGCATCGATTAGGTACATTCAAGCCATCCAGAACGGTTTGTTTATTCATAAACATTTCGTAATTTAATTTATTTCACAAATAATTAAAAACATTTTAATGTTAAAATAAATTTTATTGTTGCATATTATACAAATGCAAATCGAAACTGCCTCCATAGCAAATAATGACAAAATATTTTACTAAATTAAAATCCGGTAGCATCGTGAAGATAAATAAAATCTTGTTTTATATATATAACTATCATTTCAATCTTTGTTCACCCTGTAAGTTGAACTGAAAAAAAATATTTCATAGCATAAATATGTAATGAAGAATGAATTGTATATTTAGGCGTACATTTTTTAAAAGTGAAACTGTTTCACTACCACTTAATTTTCTTTTAAGAACTAAATGAACTCAGCATGCTATCTGCAAGTGTTAAGGAAAAAAGAAATGGGAATAAGTAACTTTTTTTAAGATCAATTTTAGAGCGAAATAAGAAAGCGTGATTAATTTCCTTGTTTTAGCATAATATTTAATTAATTAAAAAATATGCAATGTTAAACTAAGCCATACATTCAAAATTTAAAAATTAAGTCAAGCTGTGCCCGCCCCCCACAAAAAAAAAAAAAAAACGAAATATCCTGACTAATTTTTGATCTAATGATGGGATATTCAAATAGTAGGAATCTCATAGTAATTTTCATGCCTTTTTTTTCAGGTTAGGATTTTTTACCCTCAAAATGGTAGCCGCATTCTGGGAAATATCGTTTTAATAGTTTGGTCGAGATTGCGGTCCGACCATTTGGACCGCTCTCAAGAGTTGGACCCCTTTATGTTAATTTTACTTTTTACGTATTTCCCCATATCTCTAAACTTTTTAAAGCGAACTGAAAAATTTTGCACACCATTACAAAATTCGTTTATTCAAAGATAATTCCATACAAATTTTTTTTTTTAATAACTACTTATTACTTTATTTATACGAAACATTTTTGATCCGTAACTTATACAAATGTTTAGCATTATTTTAAATGGTGAAATTTTGTAAGGCAAAATCTGAAATTTGAACAAAATCGGTTGAATAGCTTCTGAGAAATATGCTACTTTATTAAAATTCGATTTCCAACATTTTTAAGGTCACCCCCTTAAGAGATTTAGTCCAAGTAGGTGAAGATCCGATCACGAAATCAAGAGTTATTCAAGTGCCCCTTTGTTATACCGCATTGTACATGATCCTTACTGGACAATATTATCAACAAAATGGGTCGAATAGTTTCTGAGAAATTAAATTTTAAAAAAGTCAGATACTTAAAATTCGATTTCTCAGGATCTATTTGATCGATTTTACTCAAATTTTGCAATATAACAGTCCATTCTTCAAAATGATATAAAAAATTTTATACCTTACAATACAAAATATTTTCTACCATTCTTAAATAGAATAATAATAAATATTTACTAAAAATTATTTTTTGCATGGAACTATCTTTGGAAAAAAAAATTGTATAAAAAGTGTGTAAAAAGTTTTCAATTCGCTTCTTGAGATGTAACGAAATACGCATAAAGTAAAATTAACATTAAGGGATCTAAACTTTAGATTGCTCACCTCATCAAACTATCGGAACCCTATTTCTCAGATTGCGGCTGCTCCCTACATATTGGGGGGTCAGAAATCCCAATCCGTTGAAAAAATGGCATGTTTAGTCCGAGAAAGTGCGTTTCTATGTCTGATATTATAGCGTAAAATATCGTCAGCACTAATTAGTGAGCATATTTGAGGTCACCCCGCCGAACCATTAAGAATAAAATCTAGAACGTGAAGATCTGATCATTAGATCAAAAGTTATTCCAGGTGGTCCGTTTTTTCTTCTTTTTTGCGCACTGTACTAACTTTTTTCACCAAGTGTTTTTCATATATAAACCAATTTTCTATTTGGGTACTAATAGGCTAAGAATTAAAAATTTCATTGCATGTTTAAAGGTGCAGTAATTCTATACGTGGCAATAGTAGGTTAGAAAAACTTGCAAAGGGTATCCAAATGCATTCAACCTATTAATGCATGACCTACAGTGCACATGTATTAAACAGATTAAGATCGAGATCTAGAACGTGAAAATCCGATGATTAGGGATCGAAAATTATTCAGGGTTTTTTTCCTCCTCCTGCGCGCTGTTCACACGAAAGTTAACAAGACCATTCTTTATTTTTGGATCATCGACAGTAAACATAAGTTTTTGCAAGCATCTAAAATTTATTTCTCTTTTTTTTTTCCTTTTTCACTAACACAAGATGAATAAGGTTTATATCGTATTCAATATATTTGTGTTTCGATTTTCATTTAGCTCCTTTGGTTCGTTTTGTAGATGTGCAAAACATATTATGGTAGTCAATTTGAAGGGTTCGGAACACTATAATAAGCCGTATTTTCAAATTATTCAGGGGAACAAGATCGTTTTTTTTTTCTTTGGTGAAAAAAGCAGCTTTTTCTATGAAAGGAATAAGATGTTTTTGTGTATCGTGCTGTTATCTAATGTAAGTTTCGGAAACGCGTGAAGTAATTATCTTGAAACAATACTTAGGAACAATTTGATGTCAAAATTTCAGAAGAGTGGATAATCCGGACACTCCAACTACTACACGGATGCTCCGCTTTCCGCATAAGTTTTAATAAATTGGTAGCGAATGAAATAGTAAAAACTTGTAGGATAATTAGGCCCACTCTTTATAAGATGAGTCACTACGAGAAAACTGCTATAAAGTTGCATTTCATATGATACTTCGAATTTTTGACATGTAGTGGTGGAAATATTACTAAACTAAAAATAACTTAAATTTTGTTACCACTAGAAAAAATCTTTTTAAAAAGCGGAGCAAATTGGCATCTCTGCTACTATCGAATTTCAACAGTTGCAAGGTTATAATGCATTCATATTTTATATGTTTTAATATTTTTAGTGGCGACATACTTCTTAAAAATAAAGTTCTATTTGTCTTTTGAACTTAGTTATTAATTTTCGTAAATAAACTACCTCTGGAAACACCTTTTTAATAACTCAAAATTCCTCATAAGTTGTGTAATTCACTTCATTTCAAAAACAAATGAATGAAAGATAACAAAAATGTTAGTATTGAAGGGATTTAAGTTGCCCCTATTCCTATTATTTAACAGGTAATGGATATGACAGAAATACATCAAATACCGAATGGACCGTTACCGCCTGCTTTTGATTCACGACAGAAGTGGAGAAACATGATCACACCCATTCGTGATCAAGGAGACTGCGCATCCTCTTGGGCATTCTCAACAACAGGTAAAGCCTTACATCACATTCATTCATTTTTATGCACATTATGTGAATGACTAAAACCATTTGAACTCAAATTCACTGAAAGCAAAAAACGATTGCTGGTAGAATAATCAGAAATTGCTATGGAACACAAATGACTCGCTAATGCGTAAAAGTTGTTCACTAAAATGTCGGACCAAATTATTAAGGTATTTTAGTAGTTATTAAGGTATGAGTAACTGAACACAAATGGCTCTCTTATGAGGTTGTTTTGAGGCATAGGCCATTTTTCCCTATCCTACGTTCATAACTATTTTAGTTAAAAAGCAAATTATGAAAGGAATAGTTTTATATACAAAAACAACGGGTTTCTGCCTAAAATATTCAAGTGGTCGTAAACAGTTCAAATGAAAAGTTCTCTGACTTTGTGACCTACGTTTAAATATATTTCATTTCGTATGTATTTGAATGGAAGGATTACTGGAGTGATCAGGAATGTTATATAATAAATATAGTAGAACCAGAAACATGTTTCATAATTACCTGATTAAAATCTTTATTTCCTTCCAAAATATATAAATAGCAAATAACAGTCGACATGTATCAAAAGCTTCAAAAGTAGGCTCCCATTTCCAAGACTTGCCAGGCGGGAATGATAAGAAACAAAAGTGATTTGTTAAGGTGTCAATGAAAAAATAAAGGTGAGAAACAAAGCTAAAAAAACTACAGTAGCCGAGAAAGGAAAAAAAAAAGAAAGATGAAAAACCACAGTGAGGGTAAAGTTTCAGGTGCTTTGGATAGCTGGTGAGGATCGTTAACAAGGGAATCAGCATTCATATGTGAATAAAACAAGATTCCTGGGCATCAAGATGAGCTGATGTGATTGGGGTGGAAATAACTTTGTCGAAAGTGAATTTATGTTCAAGCAGCTGTTGATGATTTCTCGAATTCTTGATAACGGGCACTTAGCTCTAAATAATAAAAATTTTGCTACTACTTAAATTATCTTGTCATCTCACTGGAGGTCAATATAGAGTATTATCCAATTGCACACAAGGAGGATCAATGGAGGAAAATTGAGTCTAGCCAACTTTTCACTGCGATTTAAAGTAGAAAGAGAAAATATCGCCGTCAAAGCAATAATATACAACTATTTAAAAATACCACTTCTTTAAAACTCGATTTCTTAGGTACTATTCTGCCAATTACATTCAAATTTGTCCTGCAGTGGACTGATCGTTAAGACACGGTTCCCAGCAGATCACCGAAGTCAAGCATCACAGGCTGCGGTCAGTGTGCGGGTGGGTGACCACTTGGATCAGTCTGCGTAGGGACCGAGGGTGTGCGGTATTACTCCTCGTTAAACTGTGCTACCGTAAAGTGCTCGACTTCGCGCGCAGGTCGTCGGGCTACCGAAGCGGGGGTGCCATCCCCTCCGCAGAGGATCAAAATTGGATGGTATGTCTTCGGATCATCCTCCGGGATGTTTCCCAGACCGTCGCCAATAGCCCATTGTGCAGCTCTAGTGCGACGTAAATTAACAACAACAACATTCAAATTTGTCTTTTAAAATTACCTTCTTTATAATGATATAAAATGACCTTATTCAAAATTTTTTACACTTTTGTTAAATATATAAATAATCATTAAAAATTATTATTTTTTCTTCAAATTAACGTTACTATAAATTAACGAATTTTTTAACTGAGTGACAAAATTTTTCAATTTGCTTAAAGTAAAATTAACATTAAGGGGTTCGAACTTTCAACATCTCTCCTGACCAAACTATTGGGACCCTTCTTCCCAGATTACGGCTACCACTCCCATATTTTAAGGGTCACGAATTCAAATCCGTCTAAAAAAGGACATTAATAAAAATTACGCCTTAACGACTGATTTCGTAACTTAAAATATAGTCTGCACTTACTAAATTAGCATATCCAAACCATTAAGATTGAGTATTAGCACATGAAAATCCGATCATTTGATCAAAAGTTCTAATGAGCTACTAAAAAAGTTCTTTATACTACATCTGTTAATATTTTGAAAATGGTTTATATTTTTCGTGAAAATAGTGTCGTAGTCTATCTAATACTTTAGAACTGAAAGTTTATGCCCTTTTAGTTGCTGCTCGAAACCTTTTTTCGGCAAAGTGAAAATAACTGAGACACATTAAAAATAATGTGTTAAAAAGTGATATTTTAAATTGCGCAATCATAAATGTATTTTTAATAGGCAACATATTGCATTCATTTAGTATACTTAATAATATTATAATAGACAAATTCAAATATTTCTATAAAAAAATATATAAAATCGAAACTTCTTGTCATTCATTTCAACTTATTGCAGCTTTGGCCTCCGACCGCCTTGCAATTGAGTCCCTAGGAATGGAGAGGAAGGAGTTATCGCCCCAGCACTTAATATCGTGTCAAAAACGAGGGCAGAGGGCCTGTAGTGGAGGTCACCTAGATAAAGCTTGGTATTTTCTGAGAAAGAAAGGGTATGTATTAAATGTCCTATTTCATATATGTTAGTTCATAAACAAATTTGCTAACACTCTTTAAATTTTGAAAATTTGGAAGCAATTCTGTCAGTACCATCGATTCATAAAGGGTGTTTGAACTGAACACAATAATCTTTACTGTGTATTACTTTGCGCCTTACATTATGAATACAAAATAGCAGAGTTGGACAAAAATGTAATCGATTACATTTTTTGATTACAGTAATCAATTACTTGTAATCATGATTACAATTTTCAAATATTTTGATTACAGCTGTAATCATGATTACAATATTGATTACAGTAATCAATTACTTGTAATCGTGATTACAAAGTTTGATTACAGCTGTAATCATGATTACATAGTCGATTACAGTAATCAATTACTTGTAATCATGATTACAATTTTCAAAAAATTTTGATTACAGCTGTAATCATGATTACAATTTTGATTACAGTAAT